TGAGCTAAATCCCCAGCCCCTATACCACTCTGTTTTGATTACTGTCATTTTAGTTTTATGGTAGAAATGGGAAAGTATGGGTCCTACAACTTTTTCTTTGCAGAATTTTTTTTTTTTTTTTTTGCTGTTATTTGGGATCCTTTGCAGCTCATATAAATTGGATTAACATTTCTAATTTGTATTTCTGCAGAACAAGCTACTGAGATTTTGATATGAATTATCATTATTTTGTTCTATTATTTTGATTCCCTTCTCATTGCCTTTTGAATATATTTTTAGGTCTTAGTGATTACAGTAAAGATTATAAGTAACATCTTGCACTTGTAACAGTTGGGTTCAAATTGACATCAGTTTCAGCGGCACATGAAAACTCTACTCCTGTACAGCTTGTTCCCTCCCTTTACATTGCCACAAATTGCAACTTCATTTTGTGTCCGTTAACATGAATTTATAATTTTTAAGCATATTTTAAATCACTTTGGGAAATAAAAAGAGGAACTATACACCACAATAGAATAATACTGGCTCTTCTGTTTACCTGTTTAGTTATGCTTACTGGAAATCTTCATTTCTTCATACAGCTCAAATTACTGTTTGCTATCTTTTTGTTTTAGGTCAGGTATGTTGGCTGTACACATTCATTCATCTGAGAATATTGTAATTTCTCTTTCATTTCTGAAAGATAGTTTTTCCAAGACAGAATTCTTGGTTTTCTAGTCTTTTCATTCAGTACTTTGTCTTGTGAAGCCACTATTTTCTGGCCTACCTTTTTTTTTTTTTTTTTTTATACTGAGTAATGGCTGTTGATCTTATTGAGGATCCCATGTACATAATGAATTGCCTCTCTCTTGCTGCTTACCAGACTTTGTCTCTGGTTTTCTGTAGTTTGATTTTAATATGTTTTGATATGGGTCTCTTTGAGCTTAATGTTATTTAGAGTTTGGTGAGATTTTTGGATGTGTAGATTCATATCCTTCATCAGATTTGGGGCATTTTCTACCATTGTGTCTTCAAATAATTTTTCTCTCATTCTCATCTTCTTTCCAATACTCCTATTATGTCTATATTGGTCCACTTGATGGTGTTTCCACATTGGAATTACTGGATCAGAAAAACAGTGGGAAGTATTAAAGAATCAAGTAGAATACACATTCAAAAATATTGTCAATATTGAAACTTGCCAGTGTTTTGGCATGATTTGAAAGCAATTTTTTATGTATTTATTTCTACCTTTATTAGCACAAACATTAAATTTATGTTAGCATTTGTACCTTATATGTTAGGTATTTAACATTTATTTATCTTAGTTAAATACTTACATTTTTTTGGGTTTTTTTTTAAGACAGGGTCTTGCTATGCAGTTCAGGCTGGCCTTGTGCTCACTTTGTAGCCCAGGCTGGCCTTGAACTCACAAGGAGCTTCTTGCCTCAGCCTCCCGAGTGCTGGGATTACAGGTGTGTACCACCATGCCCGATAATACTTACATTTTAATGTTCTTTGTTCTACAGAAGGTTTGAAGTCTCAAGTTGCTCGCCACAGTCTAAACTATATACAGGAAATTGGAAATGGCTGGTTTGGAAAGGTAAAGTATTCTTCAGTTTTATTTTTTTTCCTTCTGATTATACAGTTTAGAATTTATAGCTAATTAAGAACTGTATCAGCATTCCACATTCTGTAGATATTGCCGTATAATAAAGTTTCCCCATTGCCCTCTGTAACCATCTGGGAACATGAGCTCCAGCATTCCTAAGTGTACAACTATTGTTAGAAAAGTGTCTTGATTCATTTAGGCTGCTGTAACAAAGTGCCATACACTGGGCAGCTAACAACAGAAATGTATTTCTCACCTTCTGAAGATTGGGAAGTCCAAGATCAAGTTGAGTGATTCAGCTTCTGACATATGAGTTGTACTTTCTTGCTATGTATTCACATTGTAGAAAGGGCAAAGCACCTCTGTGGAGGAGGCCTGCTCCCTTTTTCTTTAGAGATAGGGTCTCAGGCTGGGTATGGTGGTACACATCTGTAATCCCAGCACTTGGGAAGCTGACAGAAGGATTGATGTGAGGTCAAGGCCAGCCTGGGCTGCATAGTGAGATCAAGGCTGGTGTGGCCTACAGAGTGAGACCCTCTATCAAAAAAAAAAAAGAAAGAAAAAAAAGAGAGAGTCTCATTGTGTTGCCCAGGGTGGCTCCAGAATTCTGGGCTCTAGACGCATTCAGTATCTATATATACAGTTCTGAAGTGCTTTAAGTGCTGTAAGAGCAGCTGGAAGTATAGATCCAGAGTTCAAAACGTCAGTTCAAGAGGGAAAACTCAGAATATATATGGTACAGGATTTCAAGAAGCAAGTCTAGATGAACTCATTGAGGATTTCAAAATGAAGATAAGAGGGAAGCATAAGGATTAAACTCTCAGGCCCTGCAGCAGGAGAGGTCAGGGCAGTCAGTGAGCAGGGAGCCAGCCTCCTGAGAGGAACATTCAGAAAGTGGGCTGAGATGGCAGTCCAGGTGCGTTCATTATACCAGTAGCAAGTGCTGCAGCTTCCAGAGTGAGCAAGATCAAGGCTGGGAGAATGAGGACTCAGCAACATGAGCTGCTGAGTTGTGTCCCGGCTGGAAACTCTAGGGGAATAGCAGTGCTACAAGCTTGCAAGGGAAAGAGTTCCAAAAAAGGAGGAGGAAAAGACAGTTCTCTTGAGTTTTACTATAAAAAGGATTAGAGACCTGGAGGAGTATCTGGTGACATCCTGAGGGCCGGGGACAGATTTTATGATGTACTCTCTTTTCATCGGATGGCAAGCTGTTTCAGCATGTTTGTGTGTAGGGAGGGCACTGATGGTGCAGGAGTAAAGTCTTTGGTGATCAAGAGGTCAGGGTCGCTAGCACAGTTGGAGGACTTGGTCCTAGGGAAGAGGCAATGTCTCTTTCCCAATGAGGCCAAAGCAGAGGGTGTGGATGCAGGTGTATTGGGTGGTGTTAAAATGAGGATGTTCACTTCTGATGGTTGTTCCAGTGGCTGGGAGGCCCATTCGTCCCTTAAGAGGGAGGAGAAAAGATACAAGAAGTCTGAACAGGAAATGTGAAAGTTGTCTGGGAAAGAGAATCAGCTGGGGAAATGCAGGAGGGAGGTGCTGAGGACCCAATAAATTTATAAGAGCAGTCATCCTGGTGGCATTTTTCTCAGCTGTTGGTGTTTTATGGTAGGCTGGCCATTGAATGTAACCAGCACCAGGGTTTGCCCAGCTGTTACACTTCATAGACAGCAAGGGAGTGATGAAAGGTAGACGGGGAATGAGGGAGGCTCATGGGAAAACCGTACAAGTAGTGGGTTTGGAGGGCAGGTTGGGGACAGTGATGGAGATGAATTAGAGATAAAGGGACTGGTTGAAAAGGAGAGGTCAGAATTCAAGGTTTGGGCCGTAAGATAGTTATTAGCTAGGCCTCGGCCCATGGAAGTAGCTACTGAGAATGTAAAAAGTATGAGTAGAAATGAGGTGAAAGAACTGAGAGGTCCAGGTGTTAAAAGAATCATCCCTGAAGATAGTGAGCACTGTAAGTGCTAGTGATGACGGAGCGAGAAGCTGAGCCCATTTTTACCCCCCTTTAAATTGACATCTTAAGAGTGTGAGGGGGCTGGGGATTTAGCTCAGTGGCGCAGCGCCTGCCTGGCAAGCGCAAGGTCATGAGTTTGATTCCCGGTACCAGAAAAAAACCAAAAACCAAAAAGAAAAAAAAAAAAAAAAAGAGTATGAGGTTCATTATATATTTCTTTTGTTATATGTGTGCAAAGTGGTCTTCTGAGGCAAAGAATATGATTTAATTATCAGAATTTTTTATCCTCTTTACTCTTCTGCCCTTATATTCCTGATAAACGTACTGTGTTCTAATCAAGTTTTTACTTTATCTGGAGCGTTAAAATTAATTTACTTTAGCCCCGTGTGGTAGCACATGGCTATAATCCCAGCACGCAAGAGGCTGAAGCAGGAGGTTTACCATGAGTTCGAGGCCAGCCTGGGCTACATAGTGGGTTCAAAGCCAGGCTGAATTACATAGTGAGATCCTGTCTCAAAATAAATAGATTAATTAATTAATTAACTTTATAAAAAATATAAATTTTTTTTAAATATTGAGAATTGAACCCAAGGGCACCTACCACTGAGCTGCTTTTTTATTATGAGGCAGGGTCTTACTAAGTTGCCCAGGCTAGCCTTGACCTTGTGATTTTCCTGCCTCAGCTTTGTAAGTAGCTAGGATTACATGTGTATGTATACCTAGCCATAAATTATTTTAAAAGGAAATCATTTAGTTTTGATCATTTTCTAGTTAAAATGTTTACTTCATGATTATTTTAAGATGATAAAATAATTATATTTTAGAATGCTTTTGCGCTGTATTATTTACATTTAATATTTTCCTTGTAGCTAGGTCTTACATGAGGTGTATCTTTCTTGCTTTATGTTTTACTAATGTTAGTAGAATTTTTTCCCTCTGTTTTGACTGAAATTTTGGTACTTGCCTGAAGATAAAGGCCTGATGTTATTGGAATATGATGAATTTAAAAATTTTCAGCACAACATCAGTTTATACATTGGCAGTTTGTCAGCTTCCTTCTTCACATGAGCAGCAAACTAAGTGATAGTTTAGTTGAAGTGTTTCTGAGAAGCACTTGAGTTATGTTTGAATTGAACTTATAAATTGCTCTAATTGTAATGTCATGGTTTATTGCTTTGGAAGTGTAGTTTAAATTACATAGAAAAGATACATGTGTATGTATGTTTATGTATATGTTATGAATGTTGTAAATATATGAGTAGTTTATTTTTAGTTTCTTTATAATTAGTATATGTTTTTGATATATAGATTATATATATACATATAGAATCTTAATCATTTTTGCTTCTCCTTACCCTCTTGCCGTCCAGTCTCCCCCTGATGAATAGATTTAAATGACCCTTTTCCTGAAAAATGTCTGCATTTTCTCAGTTTTTTGTAAGTTAATATGTAAAGTAATAGAAGGCCACATGGTTGTCCCTTAGATTCCTTGAATTCCATTTCCTGCTAAGTGAGACATACTTCTTTATCATTCTGATGAAAGTGACACAAGAAACTGTTCTTTTCCTTTAGGTCCTCCTTGGAGAGATTTATACAGGCACAAGTGTAGCAAGAGTAATAGTGAAAGAATTAAAAGCAAGTGCAAGCCCCAAGGAACAGGATACTTTTTTGAAAAACGGCGAACCTTACTAGTAAGTAAGCCTCAGCTTATATTCTGTAAACATAGTGCGTGGTCTTTTGAAAATCAAGCATGGAAAACTACTTTTAAGTTTCTGCTTTCATCATACAGAAATAATTAAATAAGACCCAGAGTCTCATAAGATCTGAAATGTCCAAATTTCAGTTGAAAATCACTTATAATCTAAAGAGCCAGGAGAACTCAAGTTGAATTATAAAATAGCCAACACCGGATGGTAGAGATGCTAGAACTATTGGGCAAGTATTTCAAAGTGTAAGTGCCTCAGTGAACATGTGCAGTACACATAAAACATGAAACATATGGTCTCAGTGAAGAACAGAAGACAGAAAGAAGACCTCAGTGGAAATTTTAGAACTGAAAAATACAGTAACTGAAATTACAAACTCAGCAGCAGAATGGAAAGGAGACAGAAAAGTTGAAAATGAAACAGTTAAGTATTGCCTACTTTGAACAAAAAGACTTGAAAGAAAATAAAGCCCCAGGGACACTGGGGAGTAACAATCTAGCATTCATGTCATAGATGTCTTAGAATGAAGGGAGATAGAAAATAGGTCTGAAAAAAGCATCAAAGAAACAGTGGCTTAAAAGTTGCTAAATTTAAAAAGACAAAACCTATAGATTGAAGAAATCGAGCAACTCTCAAATTAAACTCAAACTTCTGAAAACTAAAGACAAACAAAAACGTTTGAAAGGGAAAAGCAGTTTGAATGACAGCGGATTCCTTGTCATAAACTCTGGAGGCCAGAAGGAAATGAGATGGCATTTTTCAAGTGTTAAAAGAACCATGGAAGTACATATCCAGAGAAGATACCCTTCAAGAATAAAGGAGGGCCAAGGATATAGCTTAGTGGCATAAGCGCCTGCCTGGCAAACGCAAGGTCCTGAGTTCGATTGCTGGTGCCCCCCCAAAAAAGTAAAGGAAATATCAAAATATTCTCAGATGAAAGAAAACTAAGACAATTTATTTCCAACAAAGTTACCTACTCTTAAAAGACATTTTTTTTTAAGACAAATAATAAAAGAAGGGACCTCAGAACATTCAGGAGGAAGAGGGAATAGCAGAAAGAATAAAAATATGGCTGTATTTCCTCTGCTTAATTCAGATCCATCAAAACCCTACATCTGCCATCATACTGCATCGTGAAAGACTGAATGCTTTTTATCCTGTGATCAGGACAACACATGGGTATTTGCTGTCACTACTGTTATTCATCATGGTGTGGAACTGCAGGATATAAGATCAACATAGAAAACTCAGTTTGGGGCTAAGGGTGTAGAACATTTGCCTAACCAGCACAAAGCCTTGGATTCAATCCCAAACACATAACCTGCCTAGTTTTTAAAAGTCGTTTTATTTCTATAAATTAGCACTGCCTACATGAAAACCAAAATTTAAAAGATTGTAATATTTAATTTCTTTCTCAAAATTAAACTTTTGTGATGCTAAATTTTTGTATGCTAAAAGCTATAAAAGCTGTTGAAAAAAATCAAAGATACAAATAAATGATGTCTACAGTATTCCTGCACTAAAAGACTCAACTTAGTAAAGTTGCTGATCCTTCACAAATTAATAGTTTATTACATTTCCTATTGAAATCCTAGGAAGCGTTTAAAATCTGTATGCAAAATTATTATAATGCTTGCTTCAGCAGCATTTATGCTAAAAATTGGAACAATACAGAGAAGATTAGCATGACCCCATGTGGAAAAGAATGCCACAAAATTTGTATTTTATTTTTATTTATTTGTTTATGTCTTTTTTTTTTTTTTTTTTCCAAGGTGGGGTCTTGCTGTGTAGCCCAGGCTGGCCTCGAACTCACTTTGTAGCCCAGACTGGCCTCAAACTTGAAGCAGTCCTCCTGTTTCGGCCTCCTGAGTGCTAGGATTATAGGTGTGCACCATCACACCTGGCAAATTTGGTTTTTTAAAATGAAAGAAAAATTACAAAGTTACATGGAAAAGCAAAAGAACCAGTATCATCAAAACAAGAATGAGAAGTAATAAACTTAGACTTGCTCTCCTCTTTTAAACCTCTTACATAGCTACAGTCACAAAGACTGTCATTGGCAGAGGGACAGACACACAGACAGACGGGAATGGAATAGAAGATCTACAAATAGCTTTGCTGTTTTGGTTGTGGCCACTTGATTTTTGACAGCAGTGCAGAAGCAGCTGAATAGATGAAAGATGGCCTTTGCAATAAGTGATGCTGGAGTGGTTGGATATTTAAGAAAGATTCTTGGAAACCTCACATCTTGTGCACAGTTTAATTGAGTAGGGACTGTAGTTTAGTGTATGTGCTGCTGACGCGAGCACAATATGGACCATAGCTTAAAATGTAAAAAATTAAATGAAAGGCTGTAAGAATTTATCGTAGAAGAAAGTCTAAAACCTAGAGCTTGATGAAGTGTTTTTAGACATGACATTAAAAATAAGATCCTTAAAGGGGGAAAAAAAGATAAATTGGATCACCAGAATTATAACCATTTGCTCTGTAAAAGGCCCTGGCAAGAGAATCAAAAGACCAGCTTCAATCCAACATCAGTGTGTTGGATTCATATCTAGGATTTCAAAAGAACTCTCATAACCCAGCGGGAAACAACAACAAAAATTAAAGCAACTCTCAAATTAGGAAAATGTCAAAAAAGCATTAAGAGACATCTTACCAGAGTATGTATGGATGGATGGCAAGTAACCGTATGAGAAGACGTTCAGCATCATAGCTGTTAATATAATTGAGATCACACTGAAATGTCACTATACTTGTTAGAAAAGCTAAAATGAAAAAGTAGTGACAGTACCAAATTGTAAAATGCAGTGAGGATGAGGAGAAACTAGATCTTATGTCCACTGCTAATGAATGCATATGGGCACGTACGTATCCCTTAGCACCTAAGGGCATTGGGTCCAGGACCTCCTGAAAATGCCGAAGTCCAAGGATGTGCAAGTCCCTTACATGGGATGGCAGAGATTTGCGTGTAGCCTGAGCACATCCTCCTGTATGTTTTCAGTCATCTCTGTAGATTATTTATAACAGCCAGTATGATGTAAATGCTGTGTGAATGTTTATTCTGTTGTTGGGGGAGTAATGACAAGAATGAAAATACATGTTTAGTACAGGTACAGTTTTTCTTTGCCAGATATTTTCAGTCTTCAGTGGGTTGAATATATGAATGTTGAGCCTGTGCATATGGAGGGCCAGTATATACACCAAGAGAGGCTTATTTTAAGGAACTGGTCTATGCAATTGCGCTATTGGCAAGTCCAAAATCAGGGCAACCCAAAGAAGAGCCAGTGTGAAAAGTTTAGGTCTGAAGGCTCTCTGCTGATAGAATTGCTTCTTTCCTATGGGAAGTTAATCTTTTTTTTGTATTAAAGTCTTCACCTGATGAATGAGGCCCACCCTCATGGAGGGGTCTGCTTTACCTAAAGTCTATGAGTGTAAATAATAATCTCACCCAAAAACATCCTCACAGAAATATCCAGGAATGATGTTGACCCAGTATCTGCACTGTGGCCCTGCTGAAATGACACGTTAGCCATCACCTCATTGAACCTAATAATTATACTCTTGGTCATTTATTCCAGAGAAATGAAAGCTTTTGCATTTACCCCCAAGCCCTTCCATGAGTGTTTGTAGTGCTTTATTTATAATACCAAGAAGCACAAAAGCTATAATGTCCCTCAGTAGGTGAATGGATAAACAAGTTGTGGCGCATCCATACTGTGAGATCCTCGTGCACAGTAGAAAGGAATGAAATACTGATAGGCAACAGCTGGGGTGATCTCAAGGGGATTGTGTTAAGTGGAAAAAACCAATCCCAAAAGCCATATCCTGTATGATTCTGTTTATGTAATACAGGTTGAGCATTCCTAATCAGAAATCAAAAATACTCCAAAACTGAAACTCTGAATGTCAGCAAGATACCACAAGTGGAAATTTGCATATCTGAGCTTGTGACTTGTCACAGTCAAAACTCAGGTGCACTAAAAATGTTGTCATAGTTACCTTCAGGATGTGTATATGAGGTGTATATGAACCATAACTTAATTCTTTGTAGAATTAGGTTTCAGGGTAGCTCATTATATATATACAGATACTCCGAAATCTGAAACACATCTGGTCCCAGGTATTTTGGATAAGGAATACTGAACCTGTATTTTTTTTTTCTTTCTTTCTTTTTTTGTCTTTTTGAGACAGGGTCTTGCTATGCAGTTCAGGCTGACCTTGAGCTCACTTCGTAGCCCAGGTTGGCCTCCAACTCGCAACAATCCTCCTGCCTCAGCCTCCCAAGTGCTGGGATTACAGGCGTGCACCACCACGCCCGACCTGAACTTGTATTCTTAAAATGAAAACAATATAAAAATGGGAAACAGTTTAATGGTATAAAGGGCAAAAATGGGTAACTTGGAGCAGATTTTTGAGCTTGATGGACTAGTTCTGTACCTCCATTGAAGAAGTGGTCAAGCAGTCCACATGTGGTGACATGACATAAAGGGCTTCCTTCCATGGGCAGTTCCCTGGTTTTGGTCTCATACAGTAAACAGTTACACCATGAATAACCACTGAGGGACATGGGGTGAGGGTACTGCCTTTGCAAGTTCCTAGTTTGTTTGTTTCAAAGTAAATATTGTGTTGTTTGTTTTTTTTTTTAATATTTTGATGTCTTTTATTTACCTTTATTTTTCTTTTGGAAAAAGAAATTTTCCAAAATGTTTGCACATACTATAAAAATTTATGGGAATATCCTGAAGGAAAAACTTGAGTTATTTAATATCTGGATTAAAATGCTAACGAATTTTTATACTTGTCTGCCTTATTTTAAATGCTACCTCAAAATATTATTCTAAATTCAAATTCTGAAAGAAAAGATTCTTAAATGAGAGGAGTTTTTGGTTTTTTTTTTGCCCCTTTCTTTTTGTACTGGGGGTGAAACCAAGGATCTTGCATATGCTAGGCAAGTTCTGTACCACTGAGCTACACCTCCAGCCTTTTAAAAAAATTTTAAAGTAAGTTAGCTAAGTTACCAAAGCTCATCTCCAACTTGGGATCCTCCTGGCTCAACCTCCTGAGTAAGTGGGATTATAGGTGCTTGGCTAGGAATTCTTTACTAATCTGTGACTCCACTTGATGAGCTTTGAATAATTTAATCATTAGGTAAGTCTATATCTGTTAAGATCTTAATATGATCTTTTTAGTTTTTCGTACATACTTAAATCATTTAAATGATAAAACTTCAGTTGCTGTTTGGACCGTTTTTCTAGCATGCTTCCTGATGAATATAATACTGTGTCTTTTATTTTGACCAGTATTCTTCAGCATCCAAATATTCTCGAGTGTGTGGGACAGTGTGTAGAAGCAATTCCCTATCTTCTGGTGTTTGAGTTCTGCGACTTGGTAAGTTTTTAGGAGAGATTCAAATTGAAGAGATGGAAGGGTTATATCCAGGGTGGTTTTTGTTTCTGGTGGTACTGCCTCTGAACCCAGGCCTTTTGCACTAAGTGACATCCCAAGTCTGTTTTCTTCAATACTGTAGATCAAAACACTTAGTTCTATCCCCAGTCCTTTTTAATTTTTATTTTGAGACAGGGTCTTACCAGTTTTCCCAGATAGGCCTCCAACTTGTAGTCTTCTGTCTCAGTCTCCTGAAGAGTAGTTGGGGTCACAGGCACGAGCCACCATGCCCAGCTATCCAACTGTTTCTGAGAGAAAGTAGAAATAGTGGACTTGGATGGAAATACTTTTATGTCTGTCACCTGTTTGAAGATCCTTATGATAGATTAGCTCATTACCTTTGATCATTGTATTAAGCAGCACCTGTACAATGTTTCATTCTACTCCATGGCCTGTGCTAGGTTCTTTTCTCCCATTACCACATTGAATCAAGAAAGCCCCGAGTGAGGTACTAGTATCCATACTTTACGTACAGTTAAAGTAGGGCTGGGATGGGGCATTGGAGGGTCTTGAAAATGTTGTGTGTTAAGATTATATGTTCTTCCTGAGAACTTGAGGTCTTCACTTGGAAATTCTAATTTTCCCCACTGGGGAAGCCCAAGGATACTCCTTACCAATAGAATACTCATGATCTGCCAGTTTGAAAATAGTGAGTGTATTTAACATTTATATTTTTAATGAATTAGATAAGTTTTTTTTTTTTTTTTTTCCGTTTGGTATCAGGAATCAAACTCAGGACCTCACACTTGCCAAGCAGGCACTGCGCCACTGAGCTGTATCCCTGGCCCAGATGATTTATTTTCTGAACTATTCTGAGCATGATACTATGTATTACTCATAGAGATTTATAGTTGGAAAAATTGTGCTCTGTGAATTTTGTGAATAATTTTAATAACAAGTTTAGTGTGATAATTTCCTGTAAACATCTTTTTAAACCCCGTGCGGAATATTTCATCTTTTCGTAAGCCTATTTTTAACACGTAATTATTATTTTTCAAAAACAGTTCATTGAATTTGTTAGGTTTTAATTGATTTCTTTGCATCATCTTAGTTTTTAGAACATTACAACTTTCTTGTCTATGCACAGAAAATTAGGAGTACCCCGCAATAAATCCTCAGTTAATTCAAGTAACATTTCCTTCTATTAAAATAGAATGCGGTAAATATTGTAATTTTTTAATTCCTAAATATGATTTGAATATTTCTGTTGACAGAAGTAGTTAATTACAAAGGATAATTAGGTAATAAACCGAACATACTAGCTTTCATTCTGTTACGTCACAGTGACTCCTAAGTCCTTGTGGCTTGACCTAAACCAACACAGCAATTCTCACACCTTTTTACCTGTTGGTTTGGGGTCAGCTGCTGGTCTGTCCAGCTAACATTCTAGGATCAGTGTTTTTCTCAGCAGATGCTGGCACTCACACACGAATGTATATTCTGGTGTTGTTTCATATGGTGTTGCTTATGGGGCTTTTGGGTCAAGTTTATGAGCTTGTTCAAATCTCATCCTCTTCTGCCTTTGGGGGTGAAGAGAAAGGGATTCAGAGGATTTGAATCAATTTTTTAGAAGCATATTAAAATCTCCATGCTGATAATGGATTTTCCATACTTTTCCTTATAATTCTGGTTGTTCTGCTTTACAGTTTTTGATACTTTGTTGTGTGGAGAGTACAAAGTTAGATTTGGGCACTGGAGATGTAGCTTGGTGGTAGAGCACTTGCCTAGAACTGTATGTACAAGACTCTGGGATTCTATACCCAGAACTGTTAAAAAAAAAAAAATCAACTTTAGCATTGGTATGACTTCCTATAAGTGGACCCTTGACTTACAAACTCAACTCGTTCCTGAGGGCTGGTTGTAACTCACATTGTCAATTAAAGGCTCAAGTTTACACAGCCTTCAAAGTCTGTTCTTTATACAGGCAGATCTTAGTGTCCTTAGAAAAACATTGGCCCAGGACTTGTCAGTTAACCCCACATAAGAAAGGATGTTGTAATGTTCCTTTTAGAATGCTTTAAGGATTAAATCTGTATCTGAGACCATCTGGAAGCATAAGTGGCCAGCATTCAGGTCATAACCCAAGTTGTTCCTATGTCAGGCTGATAACTCGAGGGTCCACTGTAATTTGAACCTTTTAGCATATGTGAAAAGACTGTCTTTCAGGTTTAGAGCATCTCTGTCAATCATTTTCTTCTGTGGTTTATATCTCTTATAAATAGTTTTTTGTTTAAATTTTAATTAACCTGGCAGTCTTGGTCACTTAAAATAGAACATTTACATTTACTGTAGTTAGCATGATGTTTAGAACTTTCCCTACCTAATTGGTATTAGTTTTCTTCCCTCATTTTCTTTTTTGCTTTCTTTTAGATACTTGGTTTTTCGTGCTTCCAATTTTACCATCTACTAATTTGATTTTTAGATACTATTTCTTGATGTGGCTACCCTGGAAATTACAGCATGCATATTGAACTTAGTTTTTTTTTTGTTTGTTTGTTTTTGTTTTTGTTTTTCTCCGGAACCGGGAACCGAACTCACAACCTTGCGCTTGCCAGGCAGGCGCGTTTGCCACTGAGCTAAATCCCCAGCCCTGAACTTAGTTTTTTAACCGTGCTGCAAAGAAGCCAGGATGATCTCACTGTATTTGAGGAAACTAGGAATTGAACTTACTCCCTGGGCTATTCCCATGGTCTCTTCTGTGTTGGAGGGTGCTTTGTTACTGAACACTTACCATCACAGGGCAACATGTGGTAGGCCTAACACTTAGAGGTACAATATAGTCTTATCTTCTAGATGTCACAGGTAGAGGGGACAATTGTGGTAAGCTAGGCTTAAGAGGCAGGAGTTCTTGATAGTCGTTCTGACAGTTCTATTGCATATTATATTCTGTGTTGCTTATCTAAGTATGATCAGAGCTATAATATTTATGGTCCTAGGTTATGACAGAATGGAAATAGCATTTTCATCTAGATCTGTGTGACTAAAATACTAGAGATTTCAGTGCTGGCAAAGCAGTGAGAGAAAAAGATATAAACCAGGGCATGCCTTCATGTGAGAGGGCACATCTGTGAGCCAGTAGTCCTTGTCTGTCAGATACCAGATGTGTTGTCTTTGGCCCCCAAGGTCCTGATGTGGAGTATAAGTGGCAATTGAAACACACACTTGGTGAGTGAACATAAACAGAAACACAGCAGGAAATCAGCACCTGTTGAGAATGCCACCTGTTTCCAGGCTGAAGTGTTTATTAAACCATCTCAGATATTTTGGTATATACTTTTTCTTCTTTAGTGTTACATGCATCTCTTTCTGAGCTAAAGACAATACTGCTGGGTCTTTTTCCTAGAATGGTAAAAAGGATTCTGTATGCTCAGCCTAATGATTCCTCCTGAATGGGTTCAGGAGATAGGTTTTATTTTAGTGCTATTTAAATTTACTTTTTACTGAAGCTGCTGGTCCTTTGAGGAAATAGTAATTTAATCTGTTTTTATAAAGAAACACTTAAAACATAGCCAAATACACAATTCATTTACTGTTAGCACACATGACCCAATTCTGACATGACTGTAATACTCTTTGTATCTTTGTCACTGTACAGACGTAATATTTTGAAAATATATAAATAAATTTGTTCTTTGTTGACATTCCTATAAGCTTTCCCCCAAAACTTTTAGATCTCAGATTTAAATATGTATATATTATCCAGGTTCTTGGATTAAGTGTTCAAAGCATATTAAATTCCATTGGCTTTCATACTTTTCAGTTGAAGATTATGCATGTAGTTCTCCAGAATTAACTAATATGATGCCTTAAAACATTTTATGTGACACATCTAAGTCCTTCAGGATTTTCCACTCCTGAAGACTTAAATTCAGCTCAGCTGTCATCCCCACCAAAAACTTCTATTGGCATTGTGGAGGTAATACCTCTTTCTGATTTAAGTGTGCCACCCAATGGGACATTGATCAATAATAAAATTTTAAAAGCAAACATTGTTTCTCAAAAAACCTAAAATTAGAATTACTATATGATCCGGCAATTCCACTTTTAGGGATATTCCCAAAAGAGGTAAAGGCAGGGTCTGGAACAGATACTTGCCCTCCCAAGTTCACAGCAACATCAGTCACAGTGGCCAAAGCGTGGAAGAAGCCCCGGTGTCCATCCATGCTTTACTGGATGAACACAACATAGAATTCACATACAATGGACTGTTATTTAGCCTTTATAAAGGAAGGAATTCTGACACCTGTTACAACATGGACCAACCTTGAGTACATTATGCTAAGTGAAATAAGCCAAACACAAAGACTGTATGACTCTGCAGGACCTTTACCTTCAGACAGAGAAGAAAGATGGTTTTCAGGGACTGAAAGGAAGGAAGAAAATTGCTAACTGGATGTAGAATTTCAGTATTGCAAAATTTAAAGGTATTGGAAAGGGATGGTAGTTATGATTATACAACAAAGTGAATATACTTTATAGAACTATACACACAAGTGGTTAACATGGTAAATTTTATAATTTTGGGTTTTCTTTGTATTTTGGCTACAAAAATGCATTGATAACTACTACTTGTGAAGGTGCTGTCAGGTGTTACTAGGAGGAGGCTGATGTGTCTTTTGAAGGTTTCTGGGCATTGGTGGAATGGCCAATCTCGGACCACAATAAACCTTTCTTTTGTGTTTTGCTGTGCAGTTCAGGCTGGCCTCGAGCTCACTATGTAGCCCAGGCTGACCTTGAGCTCGCAACAATCCTGCCTCAGCCTCCCGAGTGCTGGGATTACAGGTGTGCGCCACCACACCCAGCTCAGAGTAAAGCTCTTGACCACTGGGTCCCTCCACCTTGCCTGGTAGTGAGAAGTCATGATTGTCGCTGTGGGCCAGCTTCATGCTCACAACTCTGGGCCCTAGGAGACCTTAAAGGAACAGGTTCAGCAGTACAAAGGA